AATATTATTAATATAATAAATATAATTATATCAATGCAATATAATATATAATTTTATAAAATAATAATTACAATATCATATTATAATTATAATATCATATTATTAAAATACTTATAATATTATTATAATATCATATTATATGATAAAATAATAATATTAAAATTATTAATATAATTATGATATTATTTGTTACAATATAACTATTATATTATATTATGAGTCTGAATTTTAGTTTAGGAAGATTGTAAATTTTAAATTCATTAGGGGTATTATTGGTATTATGAAAGTTTCATTAATTGTACTATGTTGATTCTTGCACAATTTAAAAGTTAAAGTTGTCTTTAGGCTGCTTCTGGTTTTGGCTGAAGATTCTTTAAAAAATCTTCAAAAAGCACTTTGGAGGAGATTTATCAAACACTAAAATCAGCTTCTACTACAAACAAGAGCTAATTTTAGGAGGAAAAAGTAATACCAAACTAAGCCTTTGTTCTTCACCACAAATTTTGTACCTAGTTTTAAGTTTATTTGATCTCATAAGATGTTTTCATCTTTCATCATGCCTTCTACTTTCTTTATAGGTGAAATTTTGATGTTTACAGAAAATATAATTGAAAGCATTACAATAGTGATCCGAGGATAAATTCTTCATGCAATGAAAGAGTTATCATATTCGATTCCAGCACCCTAATTTTATCTGAGGTTCTTATGGAGCCCACTTTACTAACAATGAAATGCAAGAATTTCAAAATTCAAAAATTAAAATTGAAACTTTTCTAAAAACTTTAAGAAGAAAATTGCAATCACATAAATGGGATGTAGAATATTACCATGCACGTTGGATGTATTTTTATTCTTGATGGAATGACTTGTGAAGAAAATGCTAAACAGTTCCCTTAAAAAAAAAAAAAAAAAAAAACACACACTTAAGTGACTATGCTTTTCACCGTACTCTCTCTAGGATTAGCCTGGAAATCTTTTTAGGGTGCACGAATAAACCAAAAGTTTCGACTAAAATAAAATTATGACTAATTTAATCAAGTTTAATTCAATTTTTGAAGCATACGGTTCTCAGAATTACGAATTCATGTAATATTGTAGTTGATTTTTGGTGTAATTGCTATTTTAAATTTGAATCAGAATTCAAAAATTCAAAAATTCAAAAATTCAAACTTGGAGATGTAATTGAAACTTTTCTAAAAACTTTAAGATGAAAATTGCAGCAAAAAAAATTATTATTGAGATTATATATATGGTATCAAGAAGGTACTTGGGACGGTGAGAGCAGGCTTCACGTGGCTTACCACTAATTTTAAGGAATGTCTTGTCGTGAGCTAGATTTTTTTTTTTTCTTTTGAAGAGCATGAATTAAAATTATAATGCAACGATATTGTATCTTTCTATTTTGGTTCATCTATTTGTATTTTATTTTATTCTTCCATATAAACTAAGTTACAGTAGAGTTTAATTCACTTTTTTTAAACTTCAGATTCACTATAATTATGAATATTGGGCCCGTTCATTTCGTTGATTCGAGTTTTGCTACAGTAAAAAGCTCTTAGAAACAGTCATATCTAACTTTTTTGCTACAGTAAAAAGCACTCACATAAAATCACATCTCAACTCGAATTAAAAATTCAAATCAGCAAACTAAACGGGTTCAGGATTTCAGGTTTAACTAGACGTTTGGTAAGAGGATTTATACTATGATTTGAATCATGATTCATGGTTCGCCACAGTGTTTTCTCTCACAAAAAACACACATAAATCAAAAATAGTTCTAATCTCATGATTCTAATCTATGAACCAAACGTTCCTTCGTATAATTAAAAAATCAAAACTTAATGTATAACTCTAAATTTTTAAAACTTCCACACAAATATTGCAATTCAAAATTTTGCGTGAGACAAAATAGAAAATGAATATTTTTTTTTTTTAATATATCAAAAGCAAAGTTGTAAGGGAGTCATCCCACGTGGGGCCAGCTCTTCCCTTGTCCTAGTTGTGAACCTTGGCAATCATGGCCCTGATAATTTGTTCTCCTATTTAAAAAAAAAAAAAAAACCTAGATAATCTTTATGCCATTCACAGTTTGTCTTAATCTGAATATCACATAGGTTAACAAATTCGAAAGGGACAGAGCATACTCACATGTGTTTAATGACCTCTATTTATATGTTATTCTTATAGCATCTAGTGTGCAAAATATCAATTTTGTTAATTAGGAAAATCATTTTTCAATACAATGTTATTTTTAATGTTAAATTTGGCATGCGCTATGTTCGGTAGTAAATTTGGCATCCAATCTCTGAAATTTAACATTTGATTCTTATTCATTAATGTATTGACCCTTCTATTTATTCATTACAAATATTAACATTTTTAAATTATTTTAAAATTAAAAATTTTCTATTACAACTTTCATAACTTAATAATTATGGCAAAAACTAACTATAACATTTGAAATAACATTATATATTCTAGTGGTTTTGTTTATCGATTGTAGTGGTTTTGTTAAATAAGCTTTTATTGCCGAGCTGGTTTTTTCTCATTAGATTTCGACATTTCTGTTTCTCTGTGCGTCATTCGTCTTCACTGGTGGTCGACAAGATCTGACTATGGTGTCATGTAGCGTGATGGTTGAGGTTGTTGGTAGTCACGAGAGAAGTAGTCACCAGATCTAAGCACCCACCGACTTTGTTGTGTGATCGTTGAGGGTCGCCGCCAAATAGGTACGATCCCAGAGCTAGGGTAGGGTTGCATTGGAGTTGGAATATAGAGAAGAGAAGAAAATGGGAGAAATAAAAGACTTCATTAGGGTTTTTTGGGGCAAAGTTGTCTTTTTGCTAGGTGATAGTGGTTTGTTTTGAGTGTGAGGAGTAAGAGTGAATAAGGATCCGTTCATTTCACTGATTTAAGTTTAGAATTCGAGTTTTGCTACACTAAAAAGCTTTCAGAAACAATTACATCTAACTTTTTTCCTACAGTAAAAAACTCACATAAAATCACATATTAACTCGAATTAAAAATTCGAATCAGCGAACTAAACGGGCCCTAAGTGTGTTATGAAAGTATTGTACCCAAAAAAAAAGGGGGGGGCGCAAACCTTGGAGTCTGTACGGGATGGGAACTTTTTCAATATTTCTGTTAGCACAAGTATTCATCAGCATACAAGTCAAGTTGATAAACATCAACATCAAATATTTTTACACAGAACTGCTATATTTTTTTTCCCTACTTTTTTTCCATATTTTTTTTCCCTACAATTGAGAATTATGAATTAGGCAAGCTTAATGGGATACAGCAAAATGCCAAAAAAATCATTCAAATTCAACTTAAGTAGGGACATGCATGAACTCGAGCCAGAGTGCAGCTTCGGCAATTTGCATAACATTCAGTTCGTTCCTTCTGGGCTCCTACCACCATTTCAACAGAACTGAACTGAAAGCTTTATCCATTCAGGCTTTAGCAACAACGAAGTTCGAAATAATGGATCCAAACTTTCTGAGCTTCGTGTCAAAAGATGCCATGAATTAGTTGACTTTCAGGTAGTAGGCAAATGGGCCTCCTAAGTTATCTACACAACTTCGTAATCCCTGCATGAGTGATAGGATTCATTTTCCCAGGTGATGTCGAAGTCTACTAACCATGATATATGGAAACGTCAGTTGATGCTATGCACAAAAAGTAAAGTCTTTTCGTTTTTTGGATGGAAAAGGAGAAGTCTTCTTTATATTATTATGCAGTACCCTAACTTTATTAAGCAGAAAGACGAGTCAAGGCCGCGTGTAGAAAGAAAACAATTTTGGAAATCAATTAAACTTTTTATATTACAAAATTTCTCGCATCACTCGGTTGAATCAGGATTAGCTGCTTTACCTCACATCCGTCGTTGTTTCTGCTGCGGAGGGTACCCACTCATTCCCATTCCAGGGTCTTTTCTTCTCAACTGTTCAAAAAATATTGGAGCATGCATTACCCAAAAAAAGTAAAAAATAAAAGAGAGAAAAACACCTCCACAAGTAAATTGTCACTCCACAAGGTATACCTGTTGCTGCTGATGGGCCTGTGGATTAACACCACGCTGCATTGGGATGCCACCAGGGTTCATTACACCGCCTGCTAGATTATAACCTGCCATCCCCTGTGGCGGCATCCTTTGCATGCCCATTGGTGGCCGAGTGGCATTTCTACTAGGTACTCCATGAGCACCTGGCATGTTTCCAGAAACTGCATTTCCAGATGATACCTGGTCCAAACAATCAGAGCATAAGCATGCACATATGCCTCAAAAGATACAAGATTAGAACCAAATAATGAAAGAACGTCTGAGATTTAGATGATTATTTATTCATTTTATAATAGCAAAATTCGGTTTCCTAGAGGATCTCTGAGTCTAACCAATCTTAGGTATCTTTTTTTTTTTTTTTTTTTTGATACCCAGAAATCCCCCCAAACCCACTCGAGTTAGAAACTGGAGCCCTCCACCTAACCTTACAATCTTTGGAAGGCAAAAAACTATGACTTTTGTCAATGTCAGTGCCCATGAGGTGGTTTGAATCCCAGACCTTGTGGGAAACCAAAGGCATTGACCATTCCAACCAACACCCCAGGTTTTTTTTTTTTTTTCCACATATGAATTCTTGCCTTATTGGGCAGCCTCACGACAAGGCCATTTTCATGTTTCCTGTTCGGGTCTACTTGCCCTACTCCATATACTTTCACTCTTTTTATTTTTTGGGATAAGATTTGTTTACCAAAAAAACAAAAACAAAACAAAAAAACAAAAGAGAAGTAGTGGTATGGCATAGAACTTACGGGTTGTGAAGGCTGGAGGCTAGTCGTCCCTTCAAAGTCTGTAGTTGTGTCTACTGGACGCGTAGGATAATTCACAACTTTCTCTCCTTGGAAGGGCACCAGGCCACTGATCATTTTGATATTACATATAGTCAAAACGTTGGGAATGTGGGCAGAGTATATGTTTCAAGAATTGATTCCATCATTTTTCTTATAGTCTTTCATCCTCTTTGGTTCTCTTAAACATTTTTAAAACATTGGTGAGTGGAAATAAGTAGTCAAAAATGTCATAGCTATGCAAAATTAAGAAAAAATATCAAATCGTGATAAAAGGATGGACGAGAACAAAGAAGAGAAACCTCACTTTCGACCTGGTAGAGGTTCAATGCGAAAATACCTGAGGAACAACACGATCAAGGAGGCTCAGAAATGATACTAGGTAAACAGAATGGAGGGGATGATATTATTGAAATTGATGCTTCCTATTACATTCCTTTTATTTATTTTTTATTTTCCCAAAAAAATATGTCAATCTATCACTGATGAACCTTTATCCTGGAAATTATTTCCAAATCTTCATAAGTGGTGTTCACTTACATATCGATAACATTTTTCACTATCGGGATCTATCTATATGTGGATAGGCATGATAAACAATATAAATCCAGGGATAGATGTCGAAATCTAATCAGGATTAAAACTGGAGAAAAAAAGTAACCTGAAAAAGTGAATCAAGCATGAAAATGAAGATATTTCACAAAAATTAAAAGCTAAACCAAAAAGAAATCACTATTCTGTTAAGGTTGGTTTAGTGTGTGTGTGTGTGTGTGTGTGACAATATAACTAAAATCTAAGATGAAATTAGAACTATCGTTACTTGAGAAAGAAGGTATCAGAAAATTAACAAACACATGTATGAGATTTCTTTAGCTATTTCTTGCGTTGAATTTAACTTGAAAATATTCAGGAGTAGACCACATAACACTGAGGAGAATAATGCAAATAATCAGCAATTTTATCATAGTAAAAATTATTCTTACTCATGCTCTAGGGCTTGTGCTGCTGTAATACGCTTTCGTGGATCATATCTGCAAAAAAAAAAATATGTATATACATAATTATATATATATGAACAACCAATAGCTAACTTATAATGATAATGCAAAGCTATAACTCATGTTTCTCTTCTTCAACTACCAAAAGCCAAAAACAAAAGCTATCCAAAAAGGGCTCCTAAACCAAAAATCCAATGCTTTTGTGGGGAAGATGAATTTGATGAAACTGGTACCTCAACTAATAGTGCTATGGATCAAAAAACTACTTTTTTTTTTCCTTTCATTCTTGTGTAGAAGTACTTGTTATTGAAGCATCACATTATTGCTTTCCATTCCATATTAGGTGAAATGAGGAAGACTTTCTTAAAATTAAAGGTATACAAGGGACTTCTCTTCCAGAAAAATCATAGCTATACCAATTCCAACACATTGCAAGGATCAACCACCTAAAATACACCGAAAACTACACAAAATCCACTTTACCCCACAAATACTTGGATACGTAAACTATGAACGTAGGGAGACGATATCTTTGTGCAGAGCAGGTAAGCACGAGCAAATGCTGAGGGTGATATTTGTATGAGCGCGCATGAGAACATACATAAGCACATACATATAGAAACTCTTGGTTGAGGATGGTTCATAATCTTCTTATTGGATTGACATTGGGACCAAGATATCCATTTTCTTTATTTTATTTTACTTTTTCACTTTCATGCTAGTGACTTAAGTTTAAACCTAGAGCCCCGGCTTACAACCTACAATCTTTAGGACCTATATCTCCAAAAGGAAATATCAAACTTATTCTCCCAATTCTGAAAGTATGATTTCCTACATATTCTCATCATGCTTGTAAGAATCGACCAGGAGAAGAGATGAAACAAAAACGTAACTGAGTCCATATAATAAAAAGTGTTTAAACGTTGCATATCAATTTCAGATTTCTAATCTTCCGGCAGTATAAAAGATATCCAACCAAGTTACCTGCTATAAATATGTTTTTCTTGAAACTCTATGAACAATGAAAGAGTTAAGAAATTAATGGCATTGAATCTTTAGAATCTTTTGACGAGCAAGATCTCCATCATTGCAAATTCTATATGAGAGTAAAGCAAGAAGTTCTTGCAAATATAGAAGGTAAACATACTCAAGCATTTTAGATAAGAGGTCATATGCAGGACTTTTTGGAGAGAGGTGAACAAAACTATGAAGCCCATGACTGTCGCTGTCAGACAAAAAAAAAATATCAATTAAAGGGAAAAAAGAGAATGAAATGAGAATCAACAGCAAAAGAGAAGGAATAAATTTTTCTGATATGACCAATTCTTTCAACAGCCTATTTCAAATCTTATATACATAAAGAACATACTACTTGTGTCCTTGAATATGTTGTGAATCTTGTTGCCAATGCGGAAGATTTGCAAGTGTTGGCCACTTTTCTAAAGTGGGATGACCTGATGAAATAAAAAAGGACAATGACGTCATACCTCAAGACATAGAAATGAAAACTAAAAAAAATAGGGGAAGGGGATGTAAAATATATCATGTAATAATAATAATGATAATAACAACAATAATAAGATAAGTACCTAAGACCTTGAATATCTTGTCAAGCTGATCAAGCTGCAAAAGTTGGAATATATGTCAGAAGGCTACACAGGAATGAAAAAAAAAATAAGATCTCCAAATCTTGAGCTCTTTCAGGAGTAAATCACATCATGAAAATGTCAAAGTCGGCTAGGCTAAGAAAGAAATAACCCCTGATACGTATACCTGGAAAGGATTTGGAGTAGCTTTAACTTCTGCTCCTTGAAACAGTGGCTTCAACGTCAAAAGCTCAGCAAAAATGCATCCAACAGCCCACATATCTAATGAAAAGGCAGTTGTTAATGCAGTAGAAGAATTTATTCCATGGCTGAATCCATTAATCCAACTTTCAAAAGATGTCATCATTAACCTTAGTCATAAAGTAATAAGACTACATAAATAATCATTATGAACTAACTCAGTATCCTTAACTGCAATAAATGCTTAGTATATATGCCTGCTCAATAAACAATGAATTTGGTGTAGAATGATACCAACAGCACTTGTGTAATGCTTTGCCCCAAGAAGCAACTCTGGAGCACGATACCAAATGGTTACCACAACCTGCAAGTAAAAAAAGAAAAAAATAACAACTTTCATCAAAGAGACCATCTAGACATGTACGAAACTCAATATTCAATATCCAGCTCATTTAGTGATAAGACAGTTGCATATGTTCAAACAAACAAGAGATATCACAAGAAAGTCTTCCAGATTATCAAAAAATTGTGGTATTTAATTCAGTGATTGAAGTAACAATTTGTTAAGAAATGTCTTCTAATAAGTTTCTCTTTTTCACTGTGCTCTTTCACTCAAGCAGCTCCAATGGGACTATTTGTTAAAATGGGAACAATAAGCTATGTGAGTGAATACCCAACCATGTCCATTACTACTGTAAATGATAAAACTGCTATTTCTTGTTTCACGTAGAAGTAGATTCTAAGAAATTCCGACAAGAAATATTATATGTCATATAGTTTCTCAATGTTTCACAAGCAATAAGGTTGACATCTGTAGCAGTAAACATCGAAGTTAGCACACAGAAAGTTCCTAGTTTTCCATTTATCGTATTCCCACGCATAATGTAACAACATATAGATGTGCACTTGATGTCATGACTGAAACCTACACGGTACAAGTGGCAACATATAAAGATATATGAGCAAGCAACTGGTGCAGGCAAGAGATGACGGATTCTTGTAGAGATATAAGTTATAATTGTCTACTCCTCAGGACGGCTTATCCATTTTCATATTTATATAGCAGCAAAACATAAGCATCACAGTCACATAGAATCACAGAAAAAGGCACTTGTTGCTAAAGAACCTATAGTTGCACCCTACCCCATTTTCGGATAATGGCTTCAATGGAGCTTGATATATTCTAGCAAGTCCAAAATCAGCAATTTTAACAACTCCTTGTTCCTCTCCGTCACCCATAACCTGTCCACAAAGATTTTTCAATTCACCTTGGCTAAAATAGACGCGCATTGCATTTATGCATTGCGTGTCAGAAGAAGGACATGCATACCAATATATTCGACGGTTTCAAATCGCGATGGATGATCCAATTACTGCAGAAACAGTTCCAAATAAGTAACTCACCTGTAATAAGGATAAAAGAGCACCAAAATTTCGCATAAACGAAGGTATACCTATGAAGATAGTTCAATCCATTGAGTAGCTGCCATAGCAATGACTTAACAGTGTACTGATTGATAGCGTGATTAACCTTGTCCCTATGATGTCTAATAATTTCCTGTTATGTAAAAAAGAAAATTCGAATATGTTACCCTTAAACAGAAACTTTACTAGCAATTGAAATGTCTGAATCTTGATTCTTGAATATCGCAAAAACTAAAGAATCTGCTATGGATGATACCATCACTCACATAGAGGTCATGCTCCGCGTAATCAAAAGCAAGATAAAGCGACATGTCGGCATGGTTGATATGAACATTCACCAGCTTTACCACATTCTCATGCGATATCTCCCGTAGTAACTGAACAATCGAAAAATAAAAACAAAAACTATCGACAATTAAACCCTAATTGCTCTGTTTGGATGCTCAGAAACCAAGAAAGAAAATTAAACCGTAATTCTTTCTGAACAGGGGGGGGGGGGGGAGAGAGAGAGAGAGAGAAGACCATGATTTCGCGGATGGCGGTGGGAGAGACGCCATCGCCGTCCTTGGACTGCTTGAATTTCTTGATGGCAATGGACTTGCCGCGATTGCCAGGGGTTTTGGTTCTTGCGAGGAAGACAAGGCCGTAAGTGCCCTCACCGATCTTCCCAATTAGATCGTACTGCTGAAGCCACTCGGGCTTGTTGCTGGTCCCACCACCACCATTGTTGTTGTTGTTGGAATGGGTAACGCCTCTGTTCCCGCTGCCATCTCCCATGGCTGCCTCCGGCCTCTGTCCGGTTCACCTTCTGATACTTCTCTCTTTCTCTCTTTCTCTCTCTAGCAGAGTTGAAAATGAATTCACCTCTTCTTCGTTCACTCGTTTGTTTTCTTTTTCTTTTTCTAATTTCCTCCCCTGAACTTCTCGTCTTATGACAAATCGGTATCCAAAAAAAAAAAATTTGCAATTGACCCTTAGAATTAGAAATGTGTTGCATTTGCTCACGTCCAAAATTTTGGATGGTTTTCGTGTTTTTTTAATCTTTCTTTTGTAATTAAGTTTCCCTATAGAAAATACAGTGAATGCCCTTTAGAGAAGGAACGAGTCTGTGTTTCACGTAATACAGTATTATATTATATAATAATTGTATTTAAAATGTCTTTATATATATATATATATTATATAGTGTTGTATTACAAATATTTTTACATAGATATATATAGTATTATTATTTATAATATATATACATATTGTACAAAATAAAATACAATATTGTTGTGTTTTTTGAGCATTTCCTTTGTTTCAGCTGCAAATATAAAAATGAGAAAAATGTTTGTAAATATAAGTATTAAGAAAATTAAATATGTTTAAATTCTATAATATGAAATAAATATTATAAAAATATTTATATTACCTTGTTTTTGGACGTTTTCCAGATTGTCTTGTTGTTCTTAATTCAGGGCCGTAAAAATGGAATAATTTTTAGATATATATTTAAATTAGTTGATAATATTTATTGTGTTGAACGTGCCTTACCTTGTACCAGGTTTTTTAGGTATTGGAGTGTGTGGATCAAATGTGGCTGGTGTTGATAGCTGTGTTGTTGGTATTAGTTGTGGGCTGAAAAAGGATAAGATTTTTAAAATTGTAATCAAAATAATATAAATATTTGTTATGTATAGTTGATAAAAGATAAAAAAATATTATTTACCTTTGTGGATCTTTTGTTCCTGTAGTTAACTGTTTTGGTGGCGATGATGGAACATGGATGTCTTCAAATATTTTGAAAATTATTGTGCTCATTTGGGTGCCTCGTTGTTGAAAGAAGATTTGGAAGATTTTTGATTGTCCTCGAATCTGATCAATAGTTGGTGGTATTATAAATGGATCGGTAAAGCCTTCGTCAATTATTAATGCAGAACATGGTTTTTTTTATTAATGCCTGAGCGGTTTTGTCAAAAGCGATAACCTCCATGTCTCCAATGTAATCTTCAATTTTGATTATTAATCTATACATGTAAAATACATATAAATATTGTTTTAATGTTGTAAAATATTTTTTTAAATTAACAAAGGTATATAGTAAATAAAAATGATTTGGTAATAAATGTAATTACCATGGAGATGGTGTTGACTTTATGTGGCCATGACTATCGCACCACCAACCTATTCTTGCTTGTTTTAGTTGTTGATAACACTTGGGGTAAGAATTGTAGAACCATCATTGAGATGTTAAAAAGTTTACTATGGTTGCTCTTACAGTGAATTTTTCACCCTGAATAAAAAGTAAAATAATGTGGTTTTAAATGTTTTACTAAGTGTAGTAAAGAAATAATAAGAAAGTTAATAGTACTAACCAGATTATTTTTTGCATCTAATGTTTTGAGTTCGTTTATTGTTCTTCTGTTTGCTAATATATGTTCTTCAATTGTTTGGATTGGTGTTTTTGGTGGTAGTAGGAATTCAATTTGTTGACTTTGATGGAAAAATCTGTATATATAAAAATACAAATAGGTTAAGGAAAATATAAATAAAATTTGCGAATATGTAATACGATAAATTTATTAAAAAATGTTATATATATATATATATATTTATCTTGTCTTTAACGTTGTTGTTTCTGGAATATCTGGGTCAATACAGAAAATTGTTGCTGATGTACTCAAGACATATGAGTTACCTAGAAATATAACAGAGTAATAAATAAATGTATGCTATAGTTTTTACCTATGTGTATAAAATTGCTATAATAAAGTAATGTTAAAAATACCTAGATATTATTTCACCAACATTGCTGAGAAAACTGCCACAACTGGTGCTTGAAGTGTTTTAAGAACATTCTTATCAAATTGATCAGTTTTATGTCCCCATAGGCTTACTTGTAGTTGTTCATTTCTGTTGAAAAAATGTAATCCATAAAAATGATTAATAAAATTGATTCAAAAGAGTGAAAAAATATTGTATTCATGTTAAATAGTTGTAATGAATAATCAAATTTATTCATGTATTGTTTCATACACTTCATTTGGCTTTAGTGCATGAATCGGTGTTGTCATTTTGTGTAAGTCCTGAAAGAAGCAAATAAAATGTTGTTATAATGATAAATTTTTTTATTGAATTCATGGTTAAAAACTTCGTACTAAAAAAATTTTAATATTACGAAGAATATAGTATAGTATATATTTTTAATGTATTTATTTATGTGATATTATGTAAAATTTCTTTATAGACAATATTTTTTATATGATTAGGATAATTGTTGTTTGAATCAATAAGTAATATATATAATCATTTTGGATTAGTTACTCTGGATAAAGCAATATATAATTGATCATGGCTAAATATTTGATTTTTTAAAAATAGTCTAACTTTATTCAAAGATTGTCCCTGACTTTTATTTATTGTCATTGCATAACATACCTTTAGAGGAAATTATCGTCTTTTTAAAGTGAATGTGTAACACCCTGAAGAATTAATTGAGATTAATTAAGGTAATTAAGATTATTAGTGTGCCTAATCTAGATTATTAATTGAGTTTAATTAATAAATGTTTCTGACACGTGTGAGTTTAAATAGTTCCAAGGTATTTAAATTATTCTCAGTAATTTATTTTAAACCAGAAGTGTGTATGGGCGCATTTATGGACTGTTCTGTTAAAATATTGTACACATGTCATTTTCTTTCCTTTTCCTTTTCTTTTCTTTTTCCTTTTTCCTTTTCCTTTCTTTTCTCTTCCTTTCCCGTGCGTCTCTCTCCCTCACTCTCTCTCTCACTCTCCCGTGCTCTCTCACTCACTCACTCACTCTCTCACTCACTCTCTCTCTCTCTCTCTCTCTCTCTCTCTCTCTCTCTCTCTCATTTTTGTCCCAAATCAAACGGATCTTGAACCAAGGAAAGATTTAAAGAAGTTTTCAACGTCAAGAGAAGGATTCGAGGTAAGATTACTGAAAGAATCTCTCTTGAATCTCAAGTTTTTGGATTTCAAAATTCATTTTTGGTTCAAACCGGATTTTGATGGTTTTTGAGTAAAACTAGAATAGAAATTGGAGATCTTGGGTTCTTTGGACTTGTTTTAGGACCTAGCACCCAGATCTAGTGGTTTTCCTTTGAAATATTTCGATTTGGGACTAGATTTGCAGGTTTTGGACTGATTTCTGCGAGCTTCTCTC